AGTCAAGTCAAGCCAAGTCCCTTTAGCTGAAGTCTTGTCCAGTGGACTCTTTGTACTGTCCAAACCAGTCCAGTCAAGTTGGTTGCAGTCAGGTCAAGTCAAAGGTCACTTTGGTCAAGTCCAATCTGGTCGAGTCAAAGTTTAGTTGTATATAAATCTGTCCAGGTAAAGTTGAGTTAGGTCAAGTGAGGTCAAGATCATGACTTGGGTCCAATCGAGTCAAGTCCGACAAGTTGGATCAAGTCTATTGAAAGTGAGTTAAACCTGGCTGGTTGATGTCTAGTCTATTCTCTTGTTCAGGTCAAGTTTAGGTGAAAAGGACGGATGGAGTCAAATTAACTCGTCCAGTTCCATTTAATCGAGTCCAGTCAGGTCAAGTCGAGGTCAGGCCTCACTCTGTAGAGATCTACACTGAGTTTTGTCACACTGAGAGACTTTTATTACAGCTGCGATTCTTCTACTTCTGAAGCTGACAGTTTTGTCGAAGCCGAGTGAACTTTTAGCTCTTTTATCGAGTCCTCCTGGCCTTAAAACGGGGGTCAGGATCCAGATCAAAGTCAGAAACCAGTCAGGCTGCTTTGTGAACACTTCTCACCTCTTGTCTCTGCACTTTTCTTTGTGTTGTTTGTGTGCTCTGAGTTGGTTTGAACTCTTGTCTGCTGGATGGTGGGCATGTTGGGATTGGCTCTGACAGCGCTTGGATGGGTGTGGGTCCAAAAGAGAAAAACCTACAGTTAGGGGAATACTGACATTTACTCAGATTGTTTGCAGGTTGCAGTTCTCGACTGTAGTCTGCAGGGAGGCCTGAACAGTCTGAGGGGATTTTACAGGATCTCATTCAGTTTTATGAACAACTATGGAGTCTCAGTTTTCTTTTTAAAGCAGAGAAGAATTAGAAACACACTCAGAAGGTTCATAAAAACCCGTGGAGGTAAAAAAAAAAAAAATCTTTAGCATGTTATGAAATCAAAGTAAGCTCTGCTGCTGTGACCTTGTTCTCTGAATGAAGAAATATTTCTTCAGTATGGTAACAAGCTGTTGTTCAGAGCCTTCTCTTTTCTCTAACTAACAACTTGGTTAAATGTCACGTCCTATTAAAACCGCCTTGATCCCATCCTCCACAATAATGCATACCAGAGCTCTGGAAACATCTCAAGGCTGCCCGTCGGTGCTGGCAGGGAGCGCTGACGACGGTGCGTGAGTGTTTGAGCTGTTTTCACTGCACACACATTCCTGAAAATGAGGCTAATACGCACTGCAGCCACTCTGTCTAATGTTTAAATTGCTTATCTTTAAAGGAGAGCCACAAACCGCAAGTTTTCCTGCTTTCAACACTTCACATCGTCTGTGAATGATGTTACTATTGATCTGCAGCCAGTCCCCTCTCTGCTTTCTGTCTGTCTCTCCCACACAGAGGCAAAGCAGCACATCAGCACTGTGCACAAGAAGTACATTTCCTGCATGGTATTATTATCATTATTATATTAATACTGAATCTGATGCTTTTGCTCTGCTTTCAGCTCCCACTCACTTAAAGCTCCAGTAGGAGGTTTTAGCTGGGTATGAAAATGAATGTGTTTGACCTTTTGTCTTTGCATGACCTACGAAAGCAAAAATGACCACCAGCAGTAAAACCAACAACTTCTTTATTGAAGTTTATAATACCTGTAACTGCAGTGAGGGGGGAGGAGAGCGAGAGGTGCTGCTTTGCCCACAGGGGGCGCCAGGCATTATACTTCCCACAGGAGCTTTAAAGTATCAAGAGCCAGCCCAAGCCATAAGCAAACTCAGCGTGCCTAGGGCCCCGTGGCCGATAGGGGGCCCCCAAGAGCAAGAAAAAAACTATTTTTTTGCATGTATGAGTGATGCTTTCTGTATGATCATATATATATTTTTGTAAAAATAAAATAAATTAGAATAAAGTAAAAACATTTTAGTGCTGCTGCTGATGTAGGCCTATGATTCTTACTGCCGATATGTCAAACTTCGTTACTATTATGTGCCTTCTGCTGTGCAATGTGCACTGAGCAACCAAAGCACAGGTAGCTGTGGGGCAAAAAAAAAAAAAAAACTTAAAAAAAAACAACAAAAAAACAACTTTAAAACATGCAAAAGTTTAAACAGCTCATTGAATTTCTGCTTATGTCCTTATTTGTGCACTTGCAGCAAATTTGTAGTCGCTTTGGCAGCATGTCTTTCTATCTGCAGCATGTTTCTTTTTCTTTTAGACCTCTGCATGTTTTATTTTAAAGTTGTCATGATGAAGATTCTAGTCACAAAGACCATAAAACAAATTATTTTTACCACCACACGTCAATGCAGCATAACACCTGGGATAACACCAGGTTTAATTTTTACACCCACATACTGACGCTCAGAGTTTGACGTCACATTACGGTGATGTGAATCAGTTGTATTTATGTCACTGAGTGGTTGAATGTCAGCTGATAGCGGTGTAAATATGGCCACAGGTGAATTCCTTTCATTGTGGAGTATTTTGCCCTCAGTTCAGCCTGCAGGTTTCAGCTCTGATGCTCCTTTGTCAAGTTTAGATGAAGTTTAAAATTTATTCCACTGATAGCTGCAGATTCTTGCCGGTGTCGTGAACCAAAGAACAAACTCAATCCTATCTGCTGCAGCTGGTTTCATGACGGCATGTCTGCGACTCGACCTGGTCTCCATGACACTCACACAGGTGGGTAAATGTAGGTCAGATAATTATCGGCAGCACAAACCTTTGACATTTTTGTTCTTTGTGACAAAGTGAACCATATCTAAAAAATGTCAAGGTAAAAATAGAAACATCACGGTGTCAGAATATTTTATTATGACAAAAAAAATCAATACTAGCTTTATAAAAGTGAACAATGAGAAAATAAAAGATAACAAAAATAGATGTTTTTTTTATTTATTTAAGACATAACTGACGGGTTGAACTTTCAGAGTAAATTTTCCAAAAGCTGTTGAGATACTTGAGTGACAGATCTGCCTGTTATATAGGTCATAAAGCCCGCCCCCTCCATGTAAACAGATGGATTTGGGTCAAACTATATAATCAAAATACAGGTCAAGTATATTTTTCCCAAACTGAACATGGTGATTATTTTATTGATTTTATGACTATGATGATTAATATTATTATATAATATTATGATATATATGGAAATCATTATTGTAGGAGAAGGGGTGGGACGAGAGAAGTTTCAACTTATTCCCACTCCTTTTTTGAATGTGGATAACTTTTATAGTTGTATTCTATCCTTTTTTTATATGTTCAAATAAACTTCATTCATTCTTTTTCTATCGCTTTTTCCCATTGGGGGTCACGGGGGGCTGGAGCTTGTCCCAGCATCTTCGGGCAAAGGCACCTGACACCCTGGACAGTTTATCGCAGGGCTGACATATAGAGACGAACAACCATCCACACTCACATTCACATTTACAGGCAATTTGAAAGTGGCCAATTAACCTAACCCCAATTTGGCATGTTTTTGGGATGTGGGAGGAAACCGGAGGTACCCGGAGTAAACCCATGCAGACACACGGAGAACATGCAAACTCCACACAGAAACGCCCTGACCTGGATTCGAACCGAGGACCTTCTTGCTGTAAGGTGACAGTTCTAACCACAACACCACTGTGCCGCCCTAAACTTCAATCAATCAATCAATCAATCAAAATAGATTCAGTTCGATTAGGCCACAAGGTCAAGCTCCACCCACAGTATGTCAGCTGATTTTAACCCCAGCCCATATCAGCTGATTACCGTCTCCATCCAGTCTTTAGATGTGAAAATGTTTGTTCTTTTTAACCTAGTTACCATATTCTGACTTCCCAAAAACAGATGTAGTCCACAGAGATTTGAAAATTTTTATAACTTCCCTGGACAAAGCCGGAAAACCCAGACAGCCCCCAAAAAAGAGCACAAGTCCAGGTAAAAGTGGACGTATGGTCATCCTTTTTTAACCTTCTTCAGCCTGTCGACTCTTGCTGCTTCCTCTGTAAACTGCTTTGCCTCCATTCATCATTAGTCTGCAGCAACATCGACTGAACCAGCGTGAAGTTTCTGGAAAGATCTCAGGGTTGATTTGAGGTCCTCAGAACCACAGTTCACCTGCTAACCCGTTTGTTTGATCGTCTCACTCGCTGTAAAACCAGAAGAGCTTCTCAAAGCCGTCTGCTCACTGAAAGAGCACGCTCGGTCAGGGTCTCACTGTGGTTCACACACATGTACAAACCACCAAACTCTCTCTCCATTTCATGTTTCTTTCCACCAAACTCAGACGAGGAGCCGCTCTCTCTGCTGCCAGGTGCACCTGAGCTCAGCTAACTACATAATTGGATTGGCTGCAGCGTGTGATTGAATCCTGTTAACCTATTTCCTCTGCTCTCAGCGGGCAGCGGACTCCACCCTGCAAACATCAAACCAGACTGAGGCTCAAGGCTGGAAGTCCACACGTTCAGCCTCGCCGAGGATTATGGGTCATTAGGAGCCGTTAGCTTCTACAAACAAACTCTTAATAAGATCAGATTTGAAACTTTAACACTTACTGACTCTCAGCGTTAAGCTCAACGATTGCTACTGAAAAATGGGGAAATTCTCAAAAAACAAACAACACAAGAAAGGTTCTTTATTCCCCAAACAGAGAGTTATGAGAGTTTTTGTTAAAATGGGGAATAAGTGCAAATGTTTGGTGCATTTTCAAAGCATATTATCCACATTTGGAGCCACATTGAGAGATTGGCGTCTTATTCGTCAATCGACGGTAAGTTTTTCTTACCCAGCGACAGTAAGCCCTTGTCAGACGCTCCCTGAAATGGAGGTTGTTGTTGCTACTGTCAGCAGACACAGTTCTACCTTATTGCTAACATCTTCATGAATATTCACTGTAGCATGTACAGAAGTTTCAGTCAGGGTTAGTGGTGCTCTGTTACTTCTGTCTTGTGTACATGTACATGTTTGTAGAGTACAGACTGTTTGCCTGCGTGTCTGTGTGTATTTACTCGTGCGTATAGACTCTGCTGACTGGGGCAGGTGGGTTCCCGTCAGACGTGGAGGTGGTGGGGGAGCTCGAGTCGAAACTGTGGTTTGGGGTCTCACGCCTCGGACCACCGTCGGTTTGCTCGGCGGCCTCAGCTCCAGCCGCTCGCTCTGAGCGCGCTCTGAAGGAGCCTTCAGTCTGCAGCCACACACTCATCAGACCTGACAGGTTAATGACGGGGTGAGCTGACTCGGTGAAGAGCCGAGTCCAGAGACTTAATGAGGGAACACACCACAACACCACAGCCAACAAACAGGGCACGACCGCCGCCATTAGGTTTTATTTCTTTGAGTATAAACTCTCAGCTGTGTGTTTGTCTGGATATTAGAAATCTAAGTGTGTTTCTCTGCTGACTCTTTGTGTTTTTATTGTGGTCCAGCTCACTGAGGTGTTGTGGGTTGGTCTATTTTTAGATGTCTTATTTTACCAGTTTTTTATGTTGTCTGGACAATGCAAGAGAGACATTTATTTAATGACAACACTGTGGTCCAGACTGAAATTTGTCAACAACTATTGGACAGATTACCAGATTAAAAACATTATTGGATATTAACTCAGGAGGATGAATCTTATTGTATTTGGAATGAGTCCAAACTTTCCTCAGCCATATTCAGGAGGCTAACATATATGGTTAGTAGCAAAAATTTTAACTTTTAATGGATGGATTGTCAAGAAACCAGGTTTATATAGACCCCAGAACCGTTCGGGTCGTCCATACATGAAATTTAAGGACATTTTAAATGCCAAAAAAAAAAAAAACATGAAAAAGCTGATTTTGAAGGATTTTTGGATTATTTCCACTGGCATTTTGAGGATTAAAAGTGTGTTTGAACCACCTCAAATTTGCTAAAGGACAGGAGATGTCATCGTCGTTTTCTTCCACTTATCCAGGTCTGAGTCATGGGGGCAGCAGCTTCAGGAGGGAAGCCCAGATGGCCCTCACCCCAGCCACTTCCACCAGCTCCTCCGAGGGGGTTCCCAGGTGCTCCCAGGCCAGGCAAGAGATATGATCCCTCCACCTGGTCCTGGGAAATCCATTTTGGCCGCTTGTATCTGTGATCTTGTTCTTTTGGTCATTACCCAAAGTTCATGACCATAGGTGAGTGTCGGCACGTAGATTGAGAAAATCGAGAGTCTGGCCTTGCGGTTCAGCTCTTTCTTCACCACAATGGATCCGTTAAGCCTCCACATCACTGCCGACACCGCTCCGATCCGCCTGTCGATCTCCCGCTCCATCCTATCACTCGTGAACAAGATCCCGAGATACTTGAACTCCTCCACTTGAGGCAGGACCTCCTCTCCGACCCAAGGCAATCTGCCTATTTCCGACTGAGGACCATGGCCTCAGACTTGGAGGCACTGATTCTTATCCCAGCTGCTTCACACTCGGTCGTGAACTGCCCCAGCAAGAGCTGAAGGTCACTGCTCGACAACTCTAGAAGAACAACATCATCCGCAAAAAGCAGGATGAAAAGCAAGACGGGGTCATAAAGCAAAAAAGTTCTTTGGACTCTCTGGAAGTCAAAGGGCGTGGCCATGACAAACCCTCAAAGTTGGGTACCTTCCAATGAAACACATTCATATGACTACATTGAATCACAGCAATGGCGCCCCCTAAAGGCAGTTTGGAAATGCTATGCCTTCACTCCATGAGCTACAGTCCCACGACTGTCATACACAACGGCATCAAATTTGTCCATAAAACCTTTCAGACGTTTGTGTTCATATCTACCAAACTCTGTATGTTCATGACACAAGGCTTGGCAATGAGGACACAACAGATTTTGCCTCCAAGTTTTACACAGTTTTTACTCGGCTAAAAGTCAAGATCACCAAACTTGTTGTGCCAAACCATGAACACATCACTTTTTGACATAATTTTGAGATTCGCAGTGCACCTACTGGAAACAGGAAGTCACTGCTTTCATATCTACAGATCCTTTCTTGTGCAGTAAATTCTTCTCAATCATGATCAGGTACATCTTAAGCCTCTTTCAACTTGTCCACATTCACTTAAACACAGTCAATTACAAACTTTAATCAACGTGTAACATAAGAGATACAACAAACTCAAGGATCAATGAGGGTTATTTTTGTTGTGTCTGCTTATTGGTACAGAAATAAGTGGTAAAATGCTTTATGTTCAAATCCAAACTAACAGATTCTGTGAAGCTTTATTTAAATTTACTGTTTGGTCTATGTCTCACAGCTGCATGTCAGCCTGGTGGTGTGTTTTCTTGGTTGGTGTGTGAGGTCTGAAGTGGTGAGCGGGCAGCGCTGGCCAAAGCCCCGACTTGTTTATCCATCAGAGCTGCAGACAGAGATGGTTGTGTCTCTCTCTTCTCACGGCGGTCTGACTGGCTTCTCTCAGCAGCCTCTGCACTCATCTCGGGGCCTGTCACTATGACTGATGGTCACTTTACAAATGGGGCATTTCCCCCACATCATGGCCCCGCTGAAGCAAACAGTACTGCCACGAGTTTCTCGACAACCTGCCACACCTGCACTGAAGTTATGATACCCAAACTCAGCATGTTTTCAGATTAAGTGTCTTTATACAGTTTTTACCGCTCATTTGAAAAACCTTTGCACAAAAAAAAAAATCAAATCAGAACACCTGGACATGACTAGAAACACAAATTGTATTTTGGTGTTCCTCAAGGCTCAATACTCGGTCCTCAGTTTTTTCTTTCTTTCTGCATAGCAGTTATCTTCTTTTTTCTTTTTAAATGACTTTTTGATAGTTAAACATTTACAACAGATGCTTAAAGGTACCCTAAAATAGGGCGAACACATTCTGAATCCCCCCAAAAAGGACACGACTACATGGGGGAGGAGTCATGGAGTTGTGCCTAATTAATTTTGAGAGGTTTTTTTGGAATTTCCCCCTGTGGGACTATCAAAAAACATCTCATCTCTTATATTTTCGGGTCAGATTGAATGTTTTTTACTTGCTTCTAACTCAGTAAGTCCACGCGACACAAACTCAAAACTTCCATACAAAACCCCGGACATTTGAAAGATTTTATAAACTCCCCCGGACAAAGCCAGACAGCCCCCCAAAAAGAGGACATGTCCGGGTAAAAGAGGATGTATGGTCACCCTACCCTTAAACAGATTAGACAGAATATCCTAAGACATACCAAAAAGTACCCACAAGTATGCCAAACAGTACCCAGAAGTGATGCAAAACAGTCCTTTAAGAAACATCCAAAATACGGGAAGCTAATGGTACCATAAGACAGCAGCTAATTGAGCTCCATCTGCAGAGGAAGACTTGGAGATGTAGTTGAAAGCTCCGAAAAGGAAAGTCATGAACATCCATCTTCATGTTAACATCCAAACATGGCAACAATTTCTGCTCCGAGACGTCTTTTATTGGTCGTTTCAGATCCTGTCTACACTCTAACTAAAACTACAACATGTCAAGTGTTGTTTTTAATCTCCTTCATGGCTCTCATATAGAGAGACAAACATATTAGCAGCCTGAAAGTGACTCATGCTGCTGTTGTGGTGTTGTGGTTACAGGCGCAGGGCGAAGCTGTCGCCTCCATGGGCGGGTTTGGTCGCTCACAGGAAACCAGCCAGGCTCAAAGTCATTTAAAGAAGTGTGTAAAACACTAAATGAGCTCTGCTCTAACAAACCGCTGCAGGCTGCCGATGGCTACTGGGAGGCAGAGGAGAAGGAGGAGGAGGAAGAGAAGGAGGAGGAGAGAGGCAGGTTGTTAAACACTCCTGAACCCACTCACCTCGTCCTCAGTTTGGGAACATCAGATGTTCATGTCTGACAAACACAACAAGTTATTTTAAGACTTATTCCTCTTAACAGGGATCAGGTCCAAAGACTAACAAGCTGAGTGTTAGTATTAGACAAGTAGTGGCCCAAAGCTTTCTCAAAAACATGATCTGCAGATCCACAGGTAAAAGCAACCCAAAAAAAAGAGTCATGTGGTTCTATGATGAGGTGGCTTTACGCCAACATTTCTAAATCATCTGACATGTTTTTCGACTGATTGCTGTCTTTCCCCTGCAGATGCAACTATAATCCCAACTTCAGAAAAGTCAAGATGCTGCAGGAAAATACCAACAAAAACAGATATCATTTCAAATCACTTAAACCCACACCTACTGCATCACTTGTGCACTTTGTAAATATTTCTTTTATACTTTTATACTTCTTTATATTTTTGTATCCTTATTTTATTGTATTCTTCCTAGTACTTATTGTGTGTTTTTATCTGTACTTCTTTGGGTCAAGCGGTCCTTCTCATCCAGGGCATTTCATTGCATCGTTGACCTTGTTTAACCTGCATATGACAAATAAACCAATCTTGAATCTTGAAAAACCTTTATCCTATAGGAAATAATGCAAAGACAACATATCAAATGTTTGAACCGAAAAGTTTTATTGTTACCTCTGCCAAGGAGGTTATGTTTTCGGTAGCGTTGGTTTGTTTGTTTGTTTGTTTGTTTGTTTGTTTGTCTGTTAACAACCTTATGGAGAAAGTTACAGAAGGATTGACCTGAAAATTTATTTGCGTCTCAGCCCCAGGAGGATCCTATTATATTTTGGTGGTGATCCGGATCGCCTTCTGGATCCAGGAATTTTTTGAAGGATTCTTTATCATTGTGAGATAGGGCAAATTTTGGAATTCCTGCATTTAACTCTATAAAAATGTCCAGAGTCTTTAGTAAAAAAATACACAAAAGGATCTCAATGAGTTTTATGAGGTGTCAAAGGTTGATCCTGATCCAGACAAAATTCCGGATACTGTGAGCTGCTTGGTGGAGGTCTGCGCTCTCCAAGTGCTTTTCTAGTTTTATGAATAATATGAGCTCATTTCAACTTTGATGCCATTAAAGTATTATTAAAAATAGCTGGAGGAACAACCAAACAGGTAAAACAAAACAGCTGGAGGAACATCTCTCAGCTAATGAGGTTAATTTCCAAAAGGTTAGTGGTATGACATAACAGATTTAATCATCTACAGAACATAATATTATTAAAAAGATCCTGAGAATCTGGAGAAATCTTTGTGCAAAAGGGACAAGGACCAAAAACAGAGACTGGATGGTTGCTGCATTAAAACAGACAGGACTCTGTAGTGGAAACACCACATGGGCTCAAAATAACCACTATCCTATAAAACCAGATCGTCTTGTGGTCTGATTAATTCAAATTTGACATTCTTCTTGGAAATCATGGACGCCACATCTTCTACCCTGACAAGGAAGCGAGGTACAAATATGATCGAGAAACACCAGAGACTTCTCTGGACCTGAGCATATTTGAGATGAACTAAAGAGAAGATAAAAACTGTCCTGTTATCTGACAAATCCATGTTTGACAGTCTTTATGGAAATCATGGACCCTGCGTCCTCTAAGAAGAGTATAATCAGTGCACACTTTAAAAGCCAGTGTCCTTTTACTGCAGATGTAAAAGTCAGAATGTCCTGTGTTCCTCATATTTGCAGTTGGAGTGTTTTTGTCTGTCCAGTTTCAGCAGCAGGTCACTGTAAACCAGAACTCTGCTGACTCTCCCCTCTTCATTAAAAACTGGGCCACTCCGCGGAGCATATTTAGGAGTGCACCGCAGACCAGGCGACTGTGTGACTGTAGTTAGGCACCTTAAGAAGAGGATGATAAATCGCTTTTTAATTGCTTGTAAACGTGTAACTGGGCTGGCCGGCTGCCGTCGGTGCTGATTGCAGTTTGGAGCTGAGCGCTGCGGCTGCTCATCAGTCGTGTTCAGTGTTAAACAGGCTGCATGGATACAGCTCTGTCTGCTCTGTTTGTGGGGGTATTATGGCAACTTAACATGTTGCATTCCCACAACTCCCCTGCTCCTAATTATATTTCCCCCTGCCAAACATTTACATTATTTCATAACACAACATGACTGCACATGAAAATCCTGTTTCTGAAACTTGAACTCCACCCAAAACATAGAAATGCCCCCAAAAATGTCAAACATAATAACTTTCAGCACAGTTGGACCCTCGTTCTGGCTCTGGAGAACATACAGAGAGTGAGCGCAGCCTCTGATTGGCTCGTTTGAACCTCCTGTGTTTATTTTATCCCAGGAGGTCTCATGCATGTGCAACATTTGCCCGGATTTTCTGATGACTGATGTCACACACTGGAGAAAGTCCATGCAAAAGATTTACTTAAACATAATTTATAAAACTAAAGCGAACACAAATCAACAGGGTGATGAAATCTGCAAAGCATCCAGTCCGTGTCTGTGTGGCATGAGAGCTGTTGGAGGAAGTTTCTGCAGGGTGGATGTCAGCTGAGCGAACACACCAGGAAGCTTTTATACCCCGTTAGCTGCAGATGAAGTCAATCAGCTGATGACTCTGTGCTGACAACCAATCATCTGCTGAGACTGTCCAGAAGTAGATGGAGCAGACAGAAGGATGGGCGCCACATCTTCAGCCTCCTGAAGAAGGTCCTAAAAGTTCTGTTTAGTGGTGTTTTCAGCTGTTTACAAAATTTTCTTGTTGTCTTTTCAACAAGGGTTTGAATTCAGTTGCAGAAAATGTCACAAATTCAAAGGGAATCTTTTGTTTCTTACCCCCAATTTCTACGGCATCCGGAATGGCTACGAAAAGGCCATATCCGCCGATCACAGTTGATCGTTTCCATTCAAGTTAAAGTGTCAATTTCCACCGCCTACTTTCCGTTCTGCTGCAGATAAGTGAACTTCACAGCCAATCGCAAAAGTTTGATTTTTTTGGACGTTCAAAAATTCAGCACAGATTAATCCGTGCTGGAAAGGAAGTCGGGCACAGGGGATGGGGATGAACAAGGAAAAGGTTTTCAGACGTCATTTGACACCATGGATGAGGAGATGCTGATTCTAGAAGTCTAGAAGTGGATTTCCTCCTCTGGAAGGACACAATCTACTGCTTATATGATTATGTGTCTGTCTTTATCGAGGCAACTCATTATTGTGCGATTGCAAGTGAATCCGCAGGTTCTTTTGAGTTCTCGTGATTCCTGCTGTCCGTAATTTGCCATGAAATCAAACGGACAAACCAGATGGAATTGGTGGATGGCGAAAATCCGCCAATTCCTGTTCCAGATTGGAGCTGTTCTAGATGTGGTGGAAAATTGGGGTTAGTTTGATGAACAAAATTGGCAAGCCCTCCAGAAGAGCTCCCACCGGTACCATGAAATATAATTCCTGTAATAAACTGTGAAAATTGTTGAAAAAGTGGTTTATGAAGATAAATGTTAAAGCAAACCCGACATAAACAGCAACAACAAAAAAAGCGCCAACTTTCACCAACAGAGAAGGTGGTGTGTCTTGTTTGAACCTTTGACATCTTCACACTGGAGCAGATGGAAAATCTCAAAACACCAATCAAAGGTAACACAAACTGGAGCGGATACATCCCAATTCCCCGCACTTTAGTCAAGCTAACTTGTACTTTTCTACTTAATGGCATTAAGATTTTTAAAACAAGGATTAACCACACAGAAACCCTTCCTCCTGTGTTGGTATGAACAGCAGCAGCTCCAGCGTTGGCCTTCTGTGGTATGTAAACACAAGAGTTAGTCAGCAGTGATCCAAAGTTTCCAAAGCTTGATGGGGAGAGCCCTGCCTGCCACCAGGGGCGTCTGACTGCATGACTAATAAAGGTGTCATTAAGCCTGTTGATTCTCAGGCAGCAGCTCCTCTGTGCAGGTAGACCTTGGCAGGTTGTTTACAGTTTGGATCCTTTGGGGGGTTGGGCCGGGTGGGTCATATCCTCAACTCCTCAGAGGGCAGGCAGGGTCTGACCCTGAATTCAGGTGTCATTAAGTGTGTTGATTTTCACTACAGCTTTTCCAACCAGTAGGTAGAGCCTGGCATGTGTCGGCCTCTCAACCTCTCAATAATTATGTTAGCTTTAAGTTTGGGGGGAAAAAGTGACCGGCTGTTCCAGGATGTGGAGCATAACATCTCCCCGAAGGGTGGACCCTGCCGAGGCTCTCGACTCTGATTGGCTGCCATCTGAGATGATTCAGCTCCATCTCCACTCACCCTTCTGATTAACTGACTTTTTCTCCAATTACTTGGGTAACAAGTGACTGCAAGGCGTGGGCGGCTTGTTAGGAGCATGACTGCTGATCAGCTGAAGACGGGGTTTGAGTCTCGGCTGGAGGAATAACCGAGGAGAGAGTGGGCAGACAAGCTGACCACAGCTGTCAGCAGAATTACTCTGAGGTCTAAATAATATAAAGGATGAGGAGTGAATTATGAAGTTAGTCATTATTGTAAGAAGGTTTTTCTGTAGCCTGAAAGTCGTTTAACTTCTAACAAATAAGTCATTTGTTTTGTTTGGTAAATGTCATCAGACTAGATTCTCGAAACCCAGAAGCCAGGAACGTTACCTCAACTAACTAAACCCAATGAAATGTAAGTGTGGGAGGTGAGCATGAAAAATAAGACTGATGCTCCTGGGTTTTGTTTGATTCTGGTTCTAAGTGGACTATTTCGTCATCTGCAAAAAAAAAGCCATGAGGACACAAAACTTAAGAGGACCAAGGAAAGAGCCTTGAGGAACTCCTTTGAGATTTACAGTGAAAAACTAGGGTTTAATCAAAATCACAATACCTGTGTCATTTTCAGGGGCTTCTCTTCTGCAGAGCTCCAGTAGCTCGTGGGCGGATAATACTCAGGCGGAATCACGCTAGCTTGTAGCCTAACACTGCTGGTGAAGTAGAAAAAGCAGGTAACATAGGAGGTAAAGTTAATATCATAATTAGCTTTTTTACAAGCATTTCAATCCGCTAACGCACACACTTGTTCTGCAATTGTCCTCTCTATTTCTTTGAGTCTCGCCTGCATAGCGGGGCTCTGGGGGCGGAGCTTGGATTTGTGACATAGGAAATCTCACTGTATCTGAGTCTGCCGTTTGGGTCTGCCAGAGATTCACAGCAATTTGAATGCAGAAATACTCAGAGATGCAATTTTGCTCTTGTTTTTTTCTCATGATATGTCGAGTAGTATCAGAAAAAGGCCATATGAACACGTAGACAACAAGAAAAACATGATTTTCATCAGAGTGGGTCTGTAATGTACATGCTCCTGGAATGTATTTGAACGTAGTTTTGAGTGAGATATTTTGCTGCCCTTTTATTATTTGAGCTAAAACAAGGTATGAAGATTCAAAACTTAAGAGGACCAAGAATAGAGCCTTGAGGAACTCCACATGCAATATATAGGTTGCATGTTAATGTGTCTTAGTTTACGATGAGTGAGGGTCATGGCAGCTGAAGGTAGAGGATCCGAAGAGTTGAGACCAAGCTGTGACCTCCAGTGTTAAATCATAGAGCTAACAAAAAGCCGAATAATCAAACCTGCCTACTAACTACAGCTTGGTGTTTGGGTCTTACCTCGTCCTCTCTGTATTCTATTTATAGCATAACCATTTGTCAACTATACATGATCCCTTACAATAAAGGAGTCTCCAAACTATAGATAATGACCATCAAACTAATCCACATAGACTTCATTGTCAGCCGTTTACAGCCCCTCCAACCAAAACCGCCTCATTGGTCGGTTGTTCCTAAACTCTGATATGACACACATGAATGTTTCTAAATTTACAACCTTCGCCGATGGCAGATGACACAACTGACACGACCTCGCACCTGTGATTAACACTGTGAAACCGTCAGATTAAATGACTTTGGTTTGAGTCATTGCAGCGTTGGTCAAATTATACCTGTGGATACCGGTGACGCTTCACATGTGATGCTGTCACTGACATCATGCAGGTAACTGAAAATAACCTTCACTTCCAGCCTCAGAGGTGCAGATTCTGGTTCCTTAAGGATGACCTTGTGTCAGTTAAGAAGGTTTTGAAGCCATTTTTTTTAGAAAGAAGTGAATCTGTTAAGTGATTTGTCTAGAAAGTCTAATTTTAGTTTCTGCCAGAAAAAAATCAAAAGGTACGGCAGGAAAAGTCACCCACAGAGTATCTGATTTTCTCCTGGAAGTGACTCCAGGACACTGACTGTATGCTCATTTTCCTGCTCTCAGAGCTCATTTTGTCGCCCTGCAGCCCGTTTGAAGTCAGTCTTTCCTCAGGATTATATTGATTTCACCACCTCCTGGCTGCTAAGCGCCCTAACTGTTAGACAATTACAACCTGTGACACTTTTACACCCTGAACAGCCAAAAAGCAGCGAGACTGAGCGCAAAGACTCGGCTTCTTTAAGTGCATTTTTCTCGCAGCCCCCCGGGTTTGTGTGCGGACATTTATTTGACGTGTCACGTCATCGCCCGCCGTGCCAAGCAGCCTGACCACCCTTGCAGTCGACTCCGAGCCCTGTTTGAACTCCATGCCATAGCTACACTGCTTTCATTCATTTGTGCTATAATTGCTCTGACCTTTGAGAGTTTTCCTTTCTGTGTGTCAAAATAAAAGCTCAAAAAGTGAAGGATTTGAGGCTCTAATTAAGCCGGGTATCATGGCTCCTTCTCTTCACCACACTTCATATTTAAGCTAATTTGTCTGCACTTCTGTTCAGGCCCATTTGAGAGTTTGTGTTGAGAAGGTGTGATGTAATGGCTGAATAAAGTGGGAGTGATTCACCTGGATTTGTGGGTTTAAGAAACCTGTGTTTTCTTAGCTGCAGGTTCCAGGAGTCGTAAATAGTGTTTGCACAATGACTAATATTCAATATAGAAACAGTCAATCAGCTCATTGACGGAGAAGGCAGAGTGAAGGCAGATACTGAATCGGAGTCAGCGATGGAAAATATGCACGAAAAAACACCAGGACCGAAACCGAGAGCAGGAAAGAGATCGGCATTTCAAAATAAAAGTTTCAGAGTCCTTCACAATGAAAGGATTCAGTTGGATTTAGTAAAAAACGAGACTATGGTTGAGGTCTGGTTTGTCTCTGTGAACAATGGCTGACCATTTGAAGCAGCTTCTAAAATGTTTGTTGAATGGAGGTTCGAGGCATCGTTTCTGATGCATTCAGGGAAGTCAGGAAATCTAAACACTCAGTACGTTTACATGACACTCAAGAAAACAGAATTATTGATTTACTCCAATTAAGACTGGACAACTGAAGTGCATGTAATCACTTTAATCTGACTATAATCGTAGTTTGAGAACTCCGATTGGAGTTGGAGAACTCAGATTAAGACACCCAGATAATGCAATTGGAATTTGATTTCCTCTACCGTGTAACCAGCGTAGTCAGAGTATGATCGGACAATCCATGTGTGCGTGCGCCATGCCCCCTGTAACCCTTGAACAAAAACACAAGAGAAGAAGTGGCACTATCATTTAAAGAACTTTTGTCTCAGAAGCAACTGTAACATGGCTGAACAAAAGAATGTCCTCTTTTGGAACGACGAGGAGAGTGCTGTTACGCTTTCCCTCCTGAGAGAAATGGATATTTTAAAGTATATGGACGGTCGCAAAACAAGGAACGGAGACATCTTTAAAAGCGGTCCGGAAACAGCACCGCTGAAAAGGCCCATATCGCCCCCTAGTTTTGGGGAGGACATGTTCACCTCAATAACTCGATTTTCTCAGCTGCATGTAAACACGGACAAGGAGAGACGTCCGATTCAACGAAAAAAACAAATTATGAGCTTAGTCCAATTATATTGTGCATGTAAACACACCGACTGATTGTCTCTCTAGAACAGTTAGCTACACTTACATACAGATATCTATAGAGAGGAATAAATCTGCCACAGATTAACAACCATGGGAGATGACGGATGAGATTATGGTGGACTGTGATCCTCCTGCTTTTGCTCTCCATACAGACTGTAGATATCTGATTGGTTAAACACGACTGAAACTACAAACAGAAGGGTCTAATTCAGGTCAGTTTTGTTTCAATACCTGCAGGTCGTAAAGCAGGCAGTAAAGTTTCAACTTTGTGACTTATTCAGTTTCACTTTTCGTACTTGATCTGGCAGTAAGACGCATTTCTGTGTTAAGAAACAGGTTACAGGACCAAAGCTGCGTTCACCAGCCTCAGAGATGGTTTGAACGCCAACTTTCCCATCACCGTTTGGCTAATATTCTACTTTAAATAGAGACCTTTACATATTCCAAGTTTATGATTATGGAAACTAAACCAAAATGATTCTTTTAACCTTGTCCCTTCAAAAAGACTTCCATTTTTCTCTCACTTATTCCAAACATGGCATCCCGCCTGCAGCTCTCTCCTCATGTTGGGCCTTGGAGCTCGGAGATTTCCTACATTTTTTCCCCGGTTGTGAGCTCACTTTTTATTTACTTTACCCCCCCAAAGCTGCTCCGTCTGGATGTGAAGGCCAGGTGAGGAGGTTACCCTGAAATCTAACATCTTCGAGAGGAGAAGCGGAGTGGTTTTGGTCTCGGTCAGGCTTTGGGGAATGTGTCTGAGAGTGTGAGAGATTAACACTCCCACAGCAGCATGTTAATGGTCTGTAGTGGTGGATCAGAGCGCTGCCACCAGCCATTACTGCAGACATAATGAGAGGCATTTGTTTGAGTCTAAGAGGAACAGTCTATTAAAAACAGAGCTCGTAAATACTCCCATGTCCACACCTCTTGAAAAACCCTGACACAAGATAATAAGCAGCAGTGAAGTTGCTTTTAATAACGTGACCTCCCTCGCCTTTCTTTCTTTCCACTCGCCACCGCTGCAAAAACCTGCTGCCGCCGGAGTCCGGCCGCCGGGCTGCAGGCCGTAAACGTCAGACAGCTCTTAAAGCGGGGAGGAGGAGGAGGAATGCTCGATGAGTCCAGAAACGATAAAAGAAGAAGCCCTCATCATCCCGCCTGACCTCATATCTCCATAGGAAAAAGGAAAAAGTGTAAATGTGGAGCAAAAGACACAGTCGTAAAGAAAATTCAGTCCAGAGCTGCTCAGAATAATTTACAGTGTTTCCACATTCAGAGGAAATACTTCATATTTTACTGCAGGACATAGATTTGATGAGAATCAGTGAATCAAACTGGGTCAGAGGCAGTTTGAGTTTGGATGAACGGATCACTGAAAATTCAACGATGCAAAAGTTTGCATGACATTTTTTTAGTTTTTTCAAAATCTTTGATTTTTTGAGGCTTTTGTTGCAGAGAAGATCCATGGATACAATAGTGCAATGGTTTGAGTTGACTCTGAATGCTTTTTTTTTACGATTTAAATGTCTGTATGTTACAGCCTCTCTACCAAAGACTAGCACCAAAGACAGCAAACATATCTGGAGGAGCCAAAAATGAACTAAAGACGGAAAGGTGTTGGGCCTGCCATTTCATGGACCGTCGCTCCGAACACCTGTCACTAAATACAGGAGCCAAAAACTAAACTACAAACCAAAAGACTGAAAACTAGACTACCTGTAACCTCAAGCAACCAGCTTCCAGCTCCCTGCAAATTGAACCTCCTCCTCTTACCTGAGGGCTGATAACACTCAGGTGTGCAGCATGAAGAGTAAGACCAGCGATGCACTTAGGCCCTGTTTATACGTACCTGGTTATTTTTAAAAATTGAGACATTAACCATCGTTTGCATCCTTTGTTTGGATGCAAACGCAGAAAATTCGCCCCTGAAAATGATACTTAAAAACTCTGACCAGAGTGGAGATTTTGAAAAACTCTGTTTGTACGTTTGCCTGTTAACAGAGAAAAATGGAGGCAAACGAGATTTCAGTTGCCGACGGCAGATTGTGCACTGGAAACTGAGAATCTGATTGGCTAATGTAGGCTTGAGCTTCTCACTACACTGCCACCTACAGGTTTGGCATGCTCTTGACAGCATAGGTTAGTGTAAACGAAAACTTTTCTGAAAACATAAACATAGAGGGTTAAATATCCATTTATGAAAATAGCCGGGCACGTGTAAACGCATTCTCAATCTCATGAGCTGTGATAAAGCTCCGCCCCTTCCTCTGGACCAATCAATTGTAGAGTTGATCAATTTATTCTCATTAGTCCAGTGCGGCTTTCATTTCTACCTTTACCAAACATAATCCACCAGGTAACTCACGGTGTCATGATTTGATACCCTAAATAAACACACAGAGTTCATAAATACAGAAATATGACCCTTGACATCATAAACACAAACTTCAAACTTCAACACGTCGGCTGAGTGGAAGAATTTTCAAGTGAAGCAAAATATTCTGAACTTTTTCTCTGTAATTTACAAACAAAAATTTTTTTTTACTCACATAAGAACTAAACTTTAGTGTTATCATTTTGACTGAGATGGATCTAAATGTATGAACTTCTTGCACACACCTCCACCATCACTGATTTTCTCTGTATTCGAGTATTTCTGTGCTGGATCTTGTTTTACCGAGGTCAGACTCAGAGTTTAACGGGACATTAAGAGCACTCGTCCTCTCTGTGGGACACATTCACAGTCCTCCGTCTGCTTCACGCTCTGCAGCCGCTCTCTTGTTTACAGCTGAACACGGCGAGAGTTTATAATAAAATTCAGATTCTGGTTAGGAAAATGTTTGCAGAATGAAGCGGTGTGACAGAGTCTATATTTATCCAGACTTCACCAAACATCTGGATGTGCCACAGAGGCTGTAAACCTACAGTAGGTGCTCCTGTGCAGCCCACACTTATTAGCTCTTGTCTTGTTCCTGAGACTTGGATGGAGTGACTCCACCGCACAGTAAAAGGAGAGAGGGAGCAGGCGAGGCGAGCGTCTGAAATCCCCTGGCAGACGGCGGTGTGGTGGCGTCGACTTTGGTGCAGGATGGCGTTTAAAAACAACAGAATCAATCCCCCCACCCTAAACCCACGAGACAAGAGGATCAGGGTGATAATTTCTCCTCCATGGAAGACATTAGTCACTTCACGACAACATTACAGTGTTTATATCAGATTTCAAAAGCTGCCGCAGACTTCTAAGGATGAACTTTACACATAAGTCAAAGAGGATTCCTTCAAAATGCTCCTGCAATTACAAAACAGACAAAATGTACTTCAGGAACCTTTTAAAATATATCCAAAGCTTTTGCCCTGAACCGACAAAGTACATTTACTACTTTTAGAGAAAATCCAGTCTCAAGTTTTCTTTAAAATCTTTAGATTATGTAAAAACAGAACAACTACCTTCCCTGACACTCAAATATCCAACATGCCAAGTTTTTGAAACCCAAGGTGACACATTTCAGTGAGCGAAAGGAGAAAGGGACAAAGAAGTCTTTTTACCACTGAAAGTGTTCTCAGTGGTCTTTAAACTGTGATTATGAAGTTTTAGCCAAACTTATGTTACCTGTGTCCTTTTCAAGAGCTTTTCTTCTGCAGAGCTCCAGTAGATCATTAGCAATTCGCCTCTGAGTCGTGGGTGGAGACGGCGCTGCTCGGCACACTCGTCTTCACGGTAGCTTGCAGTCTAACATTGCCGATGTAGTAGAAGTAGCAGGTAACATAGAAGTTATTCAGCTCTCACACACTAATGTCTTTAGGGACATGATGAAAGTTAGTAACATGGTTAGATTTCTTACAAGTATTTCAATCCGCTAACGCACACGCTTGATCCGCGATCGTCCTCTCTATTCTTCCAAGTGTAACCTGCATAGCGGGGCTCCAGGGGCGGAGCTTGGATTTGTGATGTAGGAAATCTCACTGTGTGTGAACCTGCTGTTTTCGTCTGTGAGAGATTCACAGCAATTTGAATGAGGAAATACTCAGAAATGCAATTTCACACTTACTTTTCTCCTATCATAGAGGATTATCATAGAGGAGATCAGATCTATGCAGTAAGTTATGTTTGGTGCTATGTCTGGTTTTACACAATGCAGAATCCGTCTCTTTAAAGACAGACCATTTGTCTTTCAGGACCAGAGCCTGGGGTGGGTAGAACAGACCGTCCCTCTTTTCTATGGCAGGAAGAGCAGCAGCAAAGACCACAGGGCTTCTTCTTCATCACTTTAACCCAATGATGAGGAAGGAAGAGAGACTACCCTCTCGTCCACTGAGGTGAACTCCAACATCGAGCCAAGGAGCAACAAGTATTGCCACCCCTGCCGGCGCCTTTCACCGGTGGAAACTCTGGTGATCAGGACCTGCTTCTTCTCCTCCAGGCCTTTCTTATGTTTTGACTTCTCAATCCTGATCTCAGCCTCTTTAACTCTGCAGGTAAGAGTCTGCTCCTGCTTAAGGCTCATTTATACTCAACATTACATATGGATCAGGCACTGACAGAGCTCTCTGCACATATCCTTGAAGTTTACGGATACGAACCAGACGAAGCAGTACCAACAGAAAACTGTGGGGGCAGTGTTGCTGCTGTCGCGACCCCATACCCATCTCTAGATAGAAACGAAGAAGACAATGGCAGGTTTTTTTGTGGATCGTTGTCAATTTCTCTCATCGGTACGACTAGAGAAAAGAATTCTCCGTCCTCCTATGCAAAATATACGTTTTCACTAGCTCCTCCACGGTCGCCATGTTTCTTTTTGTTTGTTGTGTCAGAAACTTCTGACTCAAGCCTGCCCCCTGGTGGATGTAATGGTTAACATCTACGCCAACGTAAAGGACGAATGAAAGTATGTGGGCAGTGATGGAACCATCGTTTGAAACGGACGCGAACATTTTCATACGTATGGTGAGCGTAAATGAGCCTTTAGACAGTTTGATGTTTTCTGTCTCCACCTGCAGGATTCGGGTCTTTGAGATCTCCTCCTTCTTGACCATATCTTCATTTATTTTTCCATCTCACTGACTCTGGTGATCAGGATCTGGTCTCTTCTCCTCCCTGAATCCTGTCTATCAGAGTCTTTTCCTTCTCTATCACTCTAAGCTGCTTTTAGCTGTTGTGTGATCTTCTAGATGGTTTAGAAAGTTCTGATTCAGGGAGATTTTCAGGTCTAAGAGTCCGTGAATGTCCTCAGTAGATTTAAAGATCATAGTGAAACATGGAGGGATCTCTGCAGGGACACTCTCTTTTCTTTCCGTCTGTGTTTTAAGGTACAAATCTGAACAAACTGGAGTCCAAACAGTTCAGACAGCGCGGTCTGGTCTTCTTTAAGTGTTCTTCTGTGTGAATGTGTTGTCCATTACAAACCACCTCCTGTAATTTGGTTTAAATGAAGTTTCATCTGGAAGCCAGAGTCTGGTTCCACTAATGTTTTACACCCACATCCCCCCGAACGTTAACCCCTCTTTTCCTCCCTCTCCGCTCGTCTCTTCTCCTGTTTAAACTTTTCTCTTTCACAAACGTTCAAAGACACAAACAGACAATAAAGTGAGGAGAAGATCCAGGCCACACAGAACTCTCATTTCCCAGATTTCATTGACACGTTCGAGAGTTTATAGATGGTTTAATTCTAATTAAATCCAGCGGCGAACGAGTCGACCACTTCAGAAAGACGAACATATTTTAGCATCTTTATCCAATACTGTTTTTAATCAAATACACTGTAAAGGTGGGAAATGAGTTTTTTTAAATGTCCATGTTAGTTTCAGAGGTAATGATGAGGAGAAAACTGGACAATATGTCACAACGTGTGAAACGGGTTAACAAAGAAAAAGACGCAAATTTAGAACAAGAAATGATTCATGAAAAAAGGCAACAAAAGAGAAAAATCACAAGAAACAACAGAAGACACAAACATACACATCGATGTACACATACACAATGAACCAACCAGGACAGAGAGGAAGACAGGGACTATATACACACTGGGAAACGAGCAACAGGTGAGGCAGACGAGACACAGGTGAAACTCATGAGTGACTAACGAGGGAGGGAAAACTAGGGAAGTAAAACCGGACTAGAAACACAAGGAATCAACTCCTACAAAATAAAACAGGAAATAAACACTGAAAACTGATCTAAAGAATAAAACACAGAGAAAAGGAGGGTTGAACACAAACTGAAAACTCACAAGACTGGATCACAGGAACAAAAGGGAACAGAAACACAAGGAAAACTAAATACCAGAACTTTTCAGGACACAAAATGCTGTTAAATCTGGAGCAGAGTGGGGCTTTGGTTTGACAAAGGATGAGGTTTTAAGATTTGAAGAATAAAGTCAGTGTTTGTCAAGAAAATAGTTGATTTTATGAGAATAAAGTTGTGAAAAAAGTCAGAATGTGGATGGAGATTTAGTAATCTTCAAGAGTCTCTATCTGGATCTGGTTGATCTGGGCTGATAATCTGAGGTTCTAAATCAAGATCATGTAATCAACATCTGAAGATCTGGTGTTTTCTATCTGCAGGAGTTTTTTCAGGGACGTGGGGACCTTTGGAGAAGCGGCACCTAACTTCATCAACAGGACATATAGGGTCACAGCCACAGCACTAGCCACCAAACATCTTTTTAACTTTGCCTGATTTCTTTAGCAAAGAGACTAAACACAACTCACCGTCTCTCTTCCAGCAGCCGCTTGTTGATAGCGAGACTGGAATAACCCTATTAGTATTTGCCAATACCGATATTGACACAAACTTGTGCATGACAAGTTTTGCACTCAGCTGCAATGTCTTTTTTGGACTTTTTTTTCGGGGCGAGGTTTGATATCAATATCATATCGGGACAGCCCTACTGAAGGACTGCAGGAAGTTTGACTCTAGAGTTGAGAGGGTCTCATATACACAAAAACTGGTCCTTAATTTATATTTAAACTCTGGTGGCTCTATCTAAAGACACACACTCATGCACACAGACAGAAGAGAGGTTACAAATTTTTTTTTTTACATTTAAAGTTGTTGCTTAATTTACATATGGATGAGCGAGGGGCAGACGGGCAGAAGCACCAACAGAAACCGTACCTTTGTTTAAAAAGCATCCTTAAATGTCCTTTTGGAAACCTCCTGGACAGATTGATGCAATTAAACTGATGGTGGTTTTTGGACTCTCAAAGCACTGGGATGTAAATATTTGAACCCTGACTCTTCTGAATCCGTCTAACTCTCTCTGACATGTTTAAGGTATCAGACGCTCCGACCTCGCTCCTCTGTTCGAAACCAATCCGCCAGGCAGGAGAAATAAACCGCATTCGACCTCTTTCAGCTTCGCTTTCCTCCGTTCCACACCGGGCGGTCTCCATGGAAACGGAGGGTTGTTGACGGGGCGTGATGACAGGCGACATCTGCAGCCAAAAAGCGAGAAATCCCCCTGATGAGAGCAATGCATGCAGGGAAAAATCAGCCGTGGAGGAGGGAATAAAGAAGCTCTGTGACTCGGCTGAAGTCTGATATTTGGAGTCAGAAATTTAACTTCTGCTCTCATTTACTTTCCTCCCAACGTAATTTAAGCGGGTTAGTGTGCAAGGTTTCTATTTAGATCACTTTTTACTCCCAGTGAGTTATTAAAGTCAAACGTGCCGCTCAAAGCCGTGTGAGGATGTTATTTTCCATCTTGGCAGACGACGCAGAAGCATCACTAATCAACTCTTAGTGAATCAGTGTTGATTTTCAACCTTAATTGCTAAAATCCCTGATTATTTTCTTTTATACCACTTAATAAATCTTTCTCTTTCACTCCTGATCCTCTTTTTCCTCCTTACATCCATCTCTTTCCTTCTCATCTTCACATCCTCGTTCCCTTCCCTGTCTTGTTTCCGTCATTATGTCCTTATTGCCTTTCTTTATTCCATCCTTTAACCTTATCCACTTCACCACAGACCATCTTTCTTCCTCTTTCTTTAATCATTTTTCTTCATCCTCTTTTTTTTATTCCCTTTCTTTCATTCTCTCTTTTTTCATCCTTCCCTTTCCTTCTCTTCCTCCTCTTTTAATTAGTTCCTGACATTTTTCCTCTTTAATTTTTCTCCTGTCATTTTTTATTCCTCTTTCTTTCCCTCTTCTCCTTGTTTCCTTTTTTTCAAGTATTTGAACTCCTCTTCCTCGCAGTAAATAACTCATGATTTGTTGGCGTCTCTCTCTCAATGATTTTTGTGCAGGACTGTATTTTCTGCAGCTTAAGAGAGTCTGGGTTTTGCAGGATCTGGTCTCTCTAGAGTGAGGATGACTGAAAGGACCTTCAGGCCGCTGAATCCTCCACGCAGTAGGAGACCATCAACCTTCAGCTCAGGTGGGTGTCTGTGCAGAAACTCCTCAGACCTGCAGCCTCTCAGAGACGCTCAGAGAAAAGTTTGACTTCCACTCAGGAAATAATTAGTCTCATTTCCTCCTTCACTGGCCGGTTTATCTGCCAGCGTGGTAATGGAAGTTCTGTGTCAGATTTTCTCCTTGAAGAAAGCAGCTTAGAGGATTTACTGATGATCTGTCCTGCTTTTCTTCCTCGCTCCATCAGACGGCAGATTATTTATGATTTCTCTCAGCTTAGTGCACCCTCTGAGGACCTGAGAGGAAGATTAAAACACTTCTAAATCATCCCACACTGCAGAGAGACTCTGTTTTTTAGAGCCACGGTGTTAAAGAAAATATGTCCCCTTTGTCTGATCAGTCGTTTACGTGGTGCAGGAGACGAAAAACCTGATATTTCAGCAGGTGGTTGCAGACAGAGGGAAAGAGAGAGGCCTGTGGTGCACATCTGTTGCTGTAAAATATCAATGTTTACCTTGAAACACATGCACAGATCAGACTCCGGCTGAAAAGATCAGATGCACTGAGTCATAAGTTTAGGTTTACTTCAGAAGCCAGCAGCTCTGCAGACTCTGTCAACTAAATGTCACAGTTTGGAAAAGCGTTGAGTCGTCCAGCCAAGACACGGCGACACACTCTGAGTATGTATCGCTGTTTCTCATCTGAGCGTGTCGTAAACAGAGCCGTGTTTACGTTAAAAAAAACATGAGCAGAATCTGAGTCCTCACCTGAACTAAAGGGACCCTCAGCTCACACAGCAGATCTCATTTCTAAGAACCGCTAATGGAGAGAAAAACCAGCTCAGAACAAGGATACAGAAATTCACCGCGGAGTAAAAATGGAAAAGAAAACCAAGAATAAAAAGAATCTGAACGTCTAAATATGGTGGCAGACGTGACACCAGACTCAAAAGTTTAATACCAGCCTATAATTCTTAAAATCTATCAGAGTATTTTAAAGGTTTTTAATCAGGTTCAAAGTTGTTTCCACAAAGTTAAAACCAACTAACAATAAGGTGCTGAATAACTGCAGTTCCTCCAGTATCCACTCGAGGCTTTGTCCCAGAGTGAGTCAGTCTCCATAGACTCCCATGTTAAAATGTCACTTTGTACAGCTGATGATGAAGTTAAGACTGATGATCTGGATTTACAGCAACAATCCAAGAAAACCCACCAACCAGCTGAGAACCCAGAAACAGAAATCCACCACAGAGTAAAAATGGGAAGAAAAATACAAGAATAAAAAGAATCTGAACAACTAAGATGGCGGCAAATGTAGGTTTTTAGTCAGGTTCAAAGTCTTTACACTTGATGCAAAGGTGCTGAATAACTGCAGTTCCTCCAGTGTCCACTTGAGGCTTTGTCCCAGAGAGAGTCAGTCTCCATAGAGTCCTATGTTAAAATGTCACTTTACGGCTCTAAGAGTGCAGACAGGTCTGTACATGATCTGGATCCTTAAACTTGAATTATTTGAAATATATTTTTACTTTAAGTTGTTAATTTTAAAAGATAAGTTTGAGTTTTGCAGATTTCTTTATAAAAGAATTGTATTTTAAAAACCAGCTGATTCTCCAAACTCTGCTTCAGCTTTATTTGTCCTTTTCAAACCTCGGCGGCTTCCTCACAGATATTATTTTCCACGAAGCCGGAGGTCAGAGATCCGTCTTTGTTTCAAACTCTGCAGACTGGAGGTATTTATTCTAATGAGGAGGCGGAGGAGGGGATGATTTACTGGATTTCAATCCTCTGATAGTTTCTTAATTTGATTTTCAGCCGAAATATTCCAGCACTTTCCCCCCGGGTATTCATTTAACTGTCGTTATGTCGCTCTCTCCAGAAACATGGATTCTTACTCAGACTGAGCCGAGGGACTCGAGTCGGTCAGACTTTAATGTGAAGACTCATTGAGAGAATAAGTGGATCTGTATGTTTTTAATTCTTGCTGTATTTGCTGTTAGCGGCTTTTCCTCTCTGGGTCAGCGCTGTCGGCAGAAAACAAAGTGATAATGGGAATAACACGCTGTGTGCTGTGTAATAGATATGTTACACACTTCCTTGTTGTGACTGTGTGGTTGTAAATTGTTTTTAAATATCTGCAGCGAGAGCTCCGACGGAGCTTCTCAGGAGGAAAGAGGAGGAAGGAAGCGAGCTCAGCGTTTCTCCATCTGTCGCTCGAACACCAGAGTACAAAACCACGGAGGAGAGGGAGTCATTCGGCAAAGAGGGGCGGGCAGCGAACCAAACCTGCTGCCCACTTCAGGTATTCAGACTACCTGGACTTGAATCAAGCCTGAAGAATAAATCCAGATTTAAAACCTGCAGCACAGCTTTCCTGTCTGTAATAATCACTCTGCACTCTGAGGTTAATGACCCAGACCTGGGAGCTCAAATGAACCCCCACGTCAGGTGGTTTGGATGAACTCAGATAAACTGTTTCCAACCTGTCCTCTTAGAGTGGACTCCTTTGGAAAACTCGGCTGTGCTTCTACATATAATAAGACTAGAGTCCATTTTTTAGCAAAACTTATGAACATTAATGTAAAAAATGATAAGCAAATGAGAGATGTTTGATAAGAAGTCCAGTTAGTAAACACAGCTAAGCTAAACGTGATTATCAGCAAAGTAACAGCAACTTTTAACTGGCTATTTTTTACATGCTAAACATCAGTAACAAATATCTAACAATGGCAAAATCTTACCGTCGCCACACACCAAGCGCAAGTAAAATATTTCGCGAGACTGAATTACATGTTAAGTCAATGCAAAGACACGATTAGACGCTCCTACTACTCTGTAGTACTACTCGCAAATGATGCAAATTGGACGGGAGCTGAAAATGTCTCAACTTGAGCAGATATTCGTGTTGTGATAGGGTTGCCAGTTGACATATGAAAACGGACGGTTGTTCACTGGTATCAAAAATGAAGGACGAACTCATTGTGTTGGCGTGTGGGTGCCCTGAATGATATGATACCTTTTCTTTCAATTAGCAAAACCAGAACAAAAAGGAGCTCGCCTGGAAGAAAGTGAGTGAGGAAGTCGGATTACCTGGTAAATTGTAAAAAAACTTTTGTCTATCACTTGATCCCGCTGGTTGAATTGGCAGGGATTACCGTTGAAATTACAGTTGACGCCATTCGCACAAATTAAACGAGTAGATGATTTTACTCGCACTTGGTGTTAACGCCCCATAAAACTGCCAACACAGTACTGTGCTGGGCTGGACTTCTAGGGGTCTTTGCTGCTGCTCTCCCTGTCTCAGCTTCTCAAGTCTGCACACGACCACGAGTCGTAATCACAAGTGCTCTACCAGCCTCATACCAGTGAGAGTGCAGGGAGCTCAGGGGTCTTTGCTGATGCTCTCCCTGCATCTGCCTCTCAAGTGCATCCATGATCAGAGGGGAGGTGTGCTCTACCAGCCACTCATGAAAGAGCAGGGAGGCATCAGACCCTCATTTGCACTTAATGTACGGTGACCATACGTCCTCTTTTACCTGGACATGTCCTCTTTTTTGGGGGCTGTCCGACTTTGTCCGGGTTTTGTGTGGAAGTTTTGAGTTTGTGTCATGTGGATTTACTGAGTTAGAAGTGCGTAAAGAACACCCAACCCGAAAAACTCATATTTATTAACCCCACTTAATGGGTTAAGTCATTGTCCATACTTGATATTTTTACTGTATTTACATGCATACCTCTAATTTTTTGGCTCTTTGGTGTTTTTTCACAGGGTTTAACTTGTTGCACAAATTTGAAACTCCACATATAATCCATAAAAATACCTTAATGTTTTAAATCCATCGGAACACCGGTAATTATTTTAAACTTCAACTTAAGGGTATAAAAAATACGAATTGCGTTGACCTAATTATCCCCAGGTTTGTCTCAGACTGGCTGTGACAGTCCCTGGGTCCCTTTTCCAATCAGATCCTAATCTCTGCCAGGTTGGAGTGGATTTTCCACAGCTCTGTTTGGGATTGGCTCCGCAGGTTTGGACCCGCGACATGCTCTCATTTAGATCTCTTGGCTGGTACCGACCCTGGACGCTCAGAAAAAGCTGAAACCTTCACTGTATCTGACTGTTTTGCTCCTCTGCAGAGAAACCTACTGTTCAGGTATTTATTCATGGTGATGTTACCAGCAGACGGTCCCCCTCTCCCGTGATCGGACCCTCAGAGTGTGGATCTCTGGTTTTCTCACAGATGGAAAGATGCTTCCTCTCCCTGCAGGCTGATGCAGATGTGAAGCTGCTCTGCAGTATTGATTACAGCCTCCATCTGTTGTGCGTTTTCTCAGCATTTTTCCCTTTTTTTTGTCTGCTTTCTATTGTGAATTAGCCCTTTGTTGTGTGTTATTTTTCCCATCCATACTTTCCATGAGTCACTCAAAGCGCTGCGATCCAGGCTCAAAGTATTTTTACAGACAGGCTGCTTGTTTATGGTTTTCCCATCAATAAATGGTCTATTGTCTCCGGACACTGTGGGAATCAATGTGTGCTGTATTATTATTTGACTTTTAAACAGGAACCCTGCTATAAATATTACTGTGTGCAGACATTTATCCTCCAAAGAAAGACTTTCAAAGTCAAACTCAGCAGTCGGCTCATGGATCCAGGTGGATACCACAGACAGAAGACACTTATAAGCTCAACTTTGAGACAGTTTAGAGATTTTACTGCTTTTCTTTTTACTCCTTTGCATCTATTGAATAATCCAAGTCACTGTCTGCACAATGATGACACAAACCAGAGGATAGACGGTGAGATCTCTGTTTCAGCTGTGATTTAGAAAGAGCTTGCTCACACTGAAATTTGAGGGAAATTGCAATGCACCATGAATACCTGAGTGGTGTTGTGCAGGTGAGTCGGTTGCACATAACTCTCACTGGCCATGTAGAGGGAGCTTACATTTGACAGAGTGCAGTTATTTCAACATTACATGCAGAAAAGTTTCCACATAAAATCAAACAAACGTTACAGCAACACTAAAAGTTTCTTGTCAAATTCCTTAATGAAGTTGCAGTCAAGCAGAAGAGGCAAAAGAAGCGTCCAATCATCATTATTCTGGTACATCGAAGTGAACCAGGAGTGGAAAAATGCACAGATTGTACTGGACTGAACCATTTGGGTGCAGGACCTTCAGTTTGGTGCAGATGAGGGAATGCACTCTGAGAAAATCCCCCTTACCCGCCCAAAGTAATGCTGCGTTCCAGTTACCTCAGAAGTCTGATGTCGGAGCTGGGAATGAAACAAGTTGGAAAACCAAGATGGACGCCAACAGTAAGCTGTTGTTAGCTGTTGTTGTTAGCTTTACCAGTTGTAAACAACGCTTAACAGAGTATTTTACTCTTACAAACACCATAGCACCGTGTTCACAGTTAGACGTTGGGTAGTACAACATAAACCACTTATTTCATTTCACAAAAACATAAACAGAAGTGCGAATAAATAATAAATTACAAGAGCTTTCACTGTTACTCTTTACTGTTGATGCGTTGCGCTACCATCTTGGATTATGACGTTGTCGTCAAGTCGGGAGGGCGAGGATGGTGAGGACTGGTGAGGACTTTCAGAGTTGGAAATCCGACTTCAGGAGGGCATTCCAGATGAATTTCCGACTCGGAACTTGGAATTTCCGACTTTGGAGTACAACTGGAACGTAGCATAAACTTGGCGCTACTTCTGGGCAGGTGCGCTTGTTTAAATTTGGTTTAAGTTGAGAACATCTAAAGAACCACTTTGCAAGGGTCGCAAAAACCTGTCCCTGGATACAGCACTGAAGGTGTCGCTGACTTCCCAGCAACACTCGGGTCAAGAGTTCATTGGAAAAAGTGCCAAATACAATAAAAAACATGAGAAGGAGATTTGAGCACAATGATTTAAATATAATAGAAAATTACAAATAATAAGGAATGAAACTCAAATGGGATTGGGAATGATGGCTGACCGCTTTCGTGTAGGCGCTTCTGGTTCTGGTGCACTCCCTCCCTGCTTTCTGGTCTCTGTGACTCTAAATGGACCAGAACTTCCTACATGAATATCATGCTCTATTAAAGAAGACTATTAACTCGAGACTGAGGCTCATTAGGAAAATCTTCACTCAAGACTTCCTTATGGATTTCTATACATCATACCAGTGTAATCGCCCCCTGCTGGGCAAGTAGAAAACACGCCGGTTCAAAGCGCTGATGTTTCTGGGCATCAAACCAAGAGTATGATGATATAGAGTTACATAAATGCAGACTATAAAGGAGCAGGGTTCAACATGAAGTTTCATACAGCACATGCCCGTTAAATCTTTATTCATGTCATAAAACGTTTTTAATATATGTAATACTTCTCTGAATACTTTATGTAATCTTTTGGATTTTCCCGACTGTTTGTTCGTGTCAAGTTTAAAACTCCGGCGAGGACTCTGACAAAAGCTCTGACATTTTTAGATGGATGACAAAGGGAGTCGAACGGCCCTCTGGGGACAGTTTATTTGGAAAGTTCAATCGTGGTTCTCGCCTGTTTATCTTCTGGTGTCAGATGTTAAACACAAGAATATGTCAGTTCACACACTCCGCGGTCTCTCTGACCACATATTAGACTGTCGCTGCTCCACAGACACTGGATCAGAGTCTGGGTGTCAGATGATGGTGCTGGGTGGAGGTTCGGGGGGTTTTTGGTGCTGCTCGGTGGGTGGATGGATGGAGGGGCCTCAAAGCCAGAGCCAGATGATGAAAAAAGGCCGTCTGTTTTAAGTTTTAGCAGCGTTTTCTCATAATTACATTGTCTCAGTAGAGAGCTGGAAGGTTTGGGGGGGTTGGGGGTGTAATTGGTGGAGGTGGGTGGGCATCTGAGCAGAGCCTGACGGTATTAAAGAGCGCCTCATAATGGGGGATTGTCCTGCTTAAGTGCAGGATTTGGCTGCTCAGCCATAAAAGTTTGAGCGGACCTTTGGCAGTCCCTCTGAAGCTTTCAGCCGATCCAAAGCCACTTTTCCTTTTTCTTTTTCAGCGGAGACATGCTAAAAATAAAAACGGGCCTTTTTTAAAGAGTGTGGCTTTTAATGGCAGCGTGTAAAAATCTGCTACGTGTTAACAGCTTCACTGAGGCAAACCAAAGACATGCCTTAGCGGCCTCAAAACAAATTGGGATGGCAAATGAAAATGACGAAGTGAGAGCGCTGAGAGAGGAGGGGGAGGAGGATCTGTCTCGGTGTTTGATGAGGAGGAGGATGAAGGCGGTGGTGACGCCCAGAGACTTTGAACCCAGCCAGTCCCCAACAATGAAGAGCATCATTGTGAATCCACACGCAGAAGAAATGATGATTTGTTTACCCTTTACAGTGGATCTCTGTACCTTCACAATCACACTTTCTGCTGGAACTCTTGACAGGATGGAGGCATGAATCATCCATGTCAGCCTCAGTAGACACTTGAGATGAGTAATTTGGGTCAGATGTGGTCCAGAGTGACAGATCTAAATGTCCATTAGTCACCAGGACATATGTTTGAGTGTTTGTGGTAAAGCAGCATCTATTGTGCCACTCAAACCACCAAAACAGGTCAAAATGTTCACTCAAAGAAAGTCTGATCTGAAGCCTTATTGGTTTTTTTTGTTTGTTAAAGTTAAACTTGTTTGTTAGTTTGTTGAATGCTGCACTCCAGTTGTAGTCAGAAGTCCAAATTTCTAAGCGACGAGTCGGTAATTCATCTGGAACGCCCCCCTGAAGTCCGATTTCCAATTTTGGAAAGTAGGATGATCCTCACCAGTCCCAACTTGACGACAGCGACATAGTCCAAGATGGCAGCGAAGTGCATCATCAGTAAAGAGTAACCCCCAATTTCCACCGCATCCAGCTACGAAAAGGCCATATCCGCCAATCATAGCTGATCGTAACCATTCAAGTTAATGTGTCGATTTCCACCGACTTCTTTCCGTTCCACTTTGGATCGCTGGACTCCCCAGCTGATTGCAAAAGTTCTATTTTTTCTGGATGCCGGATAAATTCAGCACAGATTAACCCGTGCTGGAAAGGAAGTCGAGCACAGACACAGACGGGCAATCTACTGCTTATATGGTTGGCCTCTGTGGCTAAAGACAACTTGTTATCGTCTGTAATCTGCCACGAAATTCGCCTCACAAACGGATCCAGTAGGCGTACAGCGAAAATCGCCGCCGTTCTGGATGTGGTGGAAATCCTGGGTAAAGGTGAAACCTCTTGTATTATTTATTCTCATTTCTGTTTTGTTTTTGTGAAATTAAAGAAGTGGTTTATGTTGTTCTGCCCAACATCTAACTGTGAACACGGTGCTATGGTGTTTGTAAGAGTAAAATACTGTTATGCGTTGTTTACAACTGGTATATCTAACGACAACTAACAACAGCTGACAACGGCTAACAACAGCTGACAATTGTTTACAACGGTAGGCGTCCATCTTGGTTTTCTGACTTGTTTACTTGAACGCCATGAGCTTGGGTATAACGTCATTCCCAGCTCCTACATCCAACTTCTGAGGTAATTGGAACGCGGCAGAAGTCCTGCCATAATTCAGGGTGAACCATCATCAGGTTGCAGCAGGTAAAAGTCAGAAAACTGAGACTTTTTGGAAGATTATCACAGGAACATCAAAACTGCTGAAAAACTCACTCTAAATATTTCATTTTCTGGCATCAGGATTAACCGAGTCTCACTTTGAAGTAACTTAAACTCAGGATGATGATGAGGATGATGATGCTGAGCTGAGGATGAAGAAGATTCAGGCCGGCAGGCAGGAAAACCTCGTCAACAGCCTCTGAGACAATCAGGGAAGGTGAGGCGCGTAAACCCGGATCAAAGCCCCGACATCTGGAGCTTTAACAGGCGTGTTGACATGTTTGGCAGCGTGGAGGTCCCTCCAATTACAGTCCTCCCCTCCACCTCCACTCTCATTTTTCCGGGGCTAATAGTTAAATGTGAACCGGTTGAGCTTAATGCTGCAGTTTAGGTCAGACAGTGAACTCATGCAGAGCTGTCTGCTGAAATAAATCACTGGATCTGTTTCTTCTCTTTTAAGTTGGTACAGCTCACAGAGTCCAGGGAAGCTGCTCAACATGTTTCATCACATGAAAGATCCAAATTTAAATCTGATATGGCGTCTTCATCCTGGACAGGAGACGAGAGGACGGCAGAGCGAAGTGCTGAAATCCTTTCATTAAGTCAAAACACCATCACGATATTAAAAAACACTCTGTCATACTGTTTTCAGACCAAAGTCAACGCTAAGAATAGATCCATGCAACATGAGAGCATGAATATATGCGTCATCTGCTTTTTCCTAAAAGTTTCACTTTTCAACGCGAGTGAAGCTCAACCAAGTTTTTCACTTTGTGTACACAAAAGCAGCTGAACTGTGTCAATATAATTAATCAGAAGCAGTTAAAAAAGACAGAAAAAAATGTTTAAAGTGTTTGCTGCTTGCAGACAGACCTGTCCAATCCTGAATTTGTTTTTTGTTTTAAATCAGCAACATGATGCAGTTCTTTCAGGGTCCTTTCAGCTAATAAAATCTGTCATTTTAGGCTTTATAAAGCTGTAGTCAGACAGATTTCAGCTGACATGAGTGTGATTTGCTGATACAGTAAAACTAAGACTTAGTGGAGACGGATGGCAAAACAGTGAAGCTGAGACTCAGCAAAAACGGGTTAGAGATCCAGATATTGAGTTGTGTACAGAGTTCATGATACAATGAAACTGAGACTAAGTGACGACAGTTCAAGAAACAAAAGAAGAGACTCAGTTGAGACACTATAAAACAAGATAGATGAAAATACAGTGAAACTGAGACTCACTCATTGAGATACAGTTGAACAAAGACTCAGTGAAGACTAATAGAAGTACAATGAAAGTGAGACTGAGTGACGAAAGTTCAAGATAAAAGAGACTCTGTGGAGCTGAGGCACTATTCAACACTCTAGATGAAAATACGGTGAAACTGAGACTCAGCAAAAACAGGTCGAGATTCAGTAATACTGAGTTGTGTATAAAGTTCATGATACAATGAAACTAAGACTGAGTGACAAAAGATTAAGAAACTAAGAAAGAGACTTGGTGAAGACGAGTGGAGACACTTTAAAACTTAGACTCTGTTTAGATAGATGAAAATACAGTAAAACTGAGACTCACTGAAGGCAGATGGAAATACAACTGAACAAAGACTCAATGAAGACTAATGGTGGTACAATGAAACTAAGACCTGGTGGAGGGAGATAAAGATATAGTAAATAAATAGACTTAATGGATTCAGATAGAGAAACAGTGAAACTAAGTCCTAGTATAGGCAGATCCAATGAAACTGAGACTTGGTAGAGATGGGTAAGGATAAAGTTAAACTTAGATTTGGTAGAAATTTTAAACTGAAACTGAACAGACAAAGCTTGAGATACAGCTAAGCTGAGACTCGGTGGACACAGATGACAATACAGTGAAACTGAGACAGAGTCGAGAGATGAAGACCCAAAAAAACTGAGTCTAAGAGGGGGCAGATGGAGTTACAGTGAAACTAAGACTCAGTTGAGACAGAGATACTGAAACTGAGACTGAGTGAGGACAGATGGACAGGTGCTCATTTTCACAGTAATGTCATATGAACTCAGACTTTTTAAACACAAAGGACAGACTTCTCCCTTTTTTTAACGTGGTGGCTCTGGTCTTAACACAGTTCCCAGATTCAGGTGCTCTTTGGACGGCCTTTAATAAGAGCAGGACGGATCACTGAATCTGGTTTGAATGTGTTACCGTTTAACAAAGTCAAATGATCCAAAAACTGATTTGCATTCCCCGAAGAATAAAAGTTTCTATCCATGAAGCTGACAGTTTAGTCTACCAAGTTTCAGCCAAATCTGTCAACTCTGCAAGTGGTGAACCAAATTTTCTCCAGTATTACCAAGCGCTGATCCAACTTCAGGGAGCCTTCAAGAGAAATTTCCCCGCTGGAGGTTAATTTGTGTTGAGTTTTCAGACACCTCCTGGATAAGAAAAGGGAAAGTAAACAAAGATAAATGTGGGTTTGGTGTCCTGGTGAATCAAGAGGGGACTTTTTAAGGGTTTAGGTTTCATCAATGAAAAGAAATCCAAACCACTACCAAGTATCTGCAAGCAGGAGCACTGACAGGGATTTTAGGTTTTATAATCTCACAACCTCAAATGTCCTGACATCTCTGGGCTCCTGTTTGTTAAAGGCACATACAGTTGTCCTAACTTTTCCCTCCTGTCTGAAGGATAAATGAGACTGAATCAGGTCCAACCTGCAAATGAAATCCTGGATTTGAGGTCCTGACAGGCACGAGTCAGCCCTGATTTATGTCCCTGGTTCTGCTTTCTTCCTGTATCTCATTTTCAGGAGCCGGTGGAACAAAAAGCATAAACGCTTCATTATTCAGAGCTTGTGAACTTCGTTACAGTCCGGGGGACCACACTGGATAATCACGGCGAGCGTTTCAGGAGGTGTTTCTGTGTTCTCTGCAGGGAGATCTGGGCCTGATTGGTTTAGACCCTGAGGTCTGCTCTGTTGTGGTTTGAGCCTCTTCAAAGCGTCGCTCTTCGCTCAGCTCGCAGGAATGCACATTACCTCTGAGCTGCTCGCCTCCTGCAGGGCGGCTGCAGCCAGGTATCCCATCAGCCACCACAGGGCCGGCTGTGGGAAAGAGCAGCGCAGCCTCACGTTGTGTTTTTTAGGGATTCCAGAGGTGAACACGGTGACTCTTTCCTGTGTGGGCCTCTGTAGCTGCAGGGTTTCCTCTGCTGCTGACGCACAGGCTTTTATTCTGGTGTTTCTGTGAGGAAAGGGAACGATCACGGTCGGCCGTACGTCTATATTTAATGTGCCCCGAGCTAAATATACGGCTAACATTTCTGCAACTTTCACTCTTTCCTCTTTGCTCAAACAATGCGTAAGAAATGTAAAAGCTTTGTTTGCCTTGTGGCCTGTGGAGCAGCTTGCGGCGTGCGTCGTGTTATTTCCGGAGCTGGAGCGTGTTTGGAGGATATTCTGGATGTGTCATGCAGCGCCGGCCGCCTGCCCACGCCCACGCCTGCAGCAGGGATGCAGGCGGCGTCTCGTTTGATGTTGACAGCAGCCGTGATGCAACCGGCGCTGCAGAAGGGCGTGTTCCCTCGAAACGCTGCCCACCGACTGACGCACGTCGCTGGGAAACTCCTTCCAAGGTCCCAGAGCTCCCAGTGAGCCGAGCCGGGCTGAGCCGGGCCTGGACGGCTGCCACGAGGCTGTGGGTCTGAAAAAAGTCTGTGGTCAACAGGATTACAAACCACAAGTGTGTTTGTAGTCAGAATTATACAGTTTAGAGCGCGCAGACGTAAACACACACACACACACACACACACACACACACACACACACACACACACACACACACACACACACACTGTCAGTGTTAAAAAGTTAAAAAATAAGACACACTGGGGGAGTTTGAAACCACACGGATAAACAAGTATGGAAGCACATCTGAGCCGGGAGGACGACAAAAACATGACATAAGACATAAGTAAACACAACTCCAGTAAAAGTTACTTTAACGAGTAGAAGTAAAAGTACAAGTAAAAAAGAAAATACTTGAGTGAGAGTAAAAAAATGTTACCTGATTTCTCTGCAGGAATCTAACGGGGCGCTCAAACCAAGCACAAGTAAAATCATCTACTCGCTTAATTCGCGCGAATCTAGACGCATAAATGAATAGTGTTTATTCGCTTCATTCGCGCGTCTATGGTAACTTCAACGATGATCCCTGCCAATTTAACCAGTGGAGTCGAGTGATAGACAAAGATTTTTTACAATTTACCAGGTAATGCAACCTCCTTGCTCACTTGCCTCCAGGCGAGCTCCTTTTTTAGTCCAGTTTCGGTAATTAAAGGAACAGAAAATCATCAAAACCAGCAACTTGATAGTAATTGCGACGCAAATATCCTCTCAAGTTGAGACATTTTCAGCTCCTGCCCAATTCGCGTCATTCGCGCCGCCAGAGTAGTAGGAGCGTCTACTCGCGTCTTTGCATTGACTTAACATGTAATTCATTCGCACGAATGATTTTACTCGCGCTTGGTGTGTGGAGACAGTAACAAAGTGGCAGTAGACAGTAACTGGATATCGCCAACTCTAAAAGCCGTTTGGGAGCAGAAAGATTTGGTTCTTGCTGATTTAGATGATCTGGAGTAAAAGTAGCGACAAGTGCAGCCCACCATGGAATGACACATATTCTGCCAATCCACTCAGGTACATGTTACATAATTTTATGACTCACCTCTGTCTGTCACAGCTGGATGTGTTTGCTGCACCTGCAGAAAGAACGGTTTTTAGTGTTTCTCTCTTTCGTTCACTCCCTCTCTTTTTCTGAAGTGTTACGCCTCCTCTAATCATGACTCCATCCCTGAACGCTCTGCGGTATTTCTCCTAAAATAAGTCTGAAAAGGCATCTAAACGACGGTCTGATGTGTTGATGTTGGTGTTAAATTTATATTTTATGTGACTGACCTTTCTGTTGTGGGGTGTGATGCACATTTCAGCCTCCAGGAGCCCCATGACTTCAGACGTTTACTGCAGATAAAAAACTTTAACAGCAAATAAAAGTCGGTCTGAGTGCTGAAAAATTTATTCCTTCGTGTTGTTTGTGTTTTTTCCTGTTTTGTGTTTTATGGGCTGTTTCTGCCCCGCAGCCTGATTGTGTTTTTGTGAAGAGGCGTGGCAGCGTCTCGCTTCTCTTTTATGAGTGTAAGGAGAGTAATTTGACTTAAAATGTTTTGTCTACTTAGCACTTAAGAACAAGTCTGTGATGACACAACGGCCCACAGGATGGAATTACAAACCAAACCACAGCAGAGCTCGGGGTTATAAAATGTACAGTTTTCTTAATGCATGGAAATTCACCCCACAAACATCAATTATTCCCTGTTATAGACCGTTCCTGTGTACTTACATCACATTAAAAGCTGCAGACTGAAGATTGTCCACGGTTTAAATCCAGTCCCCTCAGGTTACAGCATGTATGGAAGCTCAACGCTGCCAAGAAAGTTATGTAAGATACATTTAGATAGACTGATGTTTAGTCCAAACACGGTGCTGCACAGATAACACGGTGAAAATCCCAGTTTTAGCAGCAGGACTCTTCCACTACAGAGCCATGCTGTTGGAAAACCTGCAGAATGTGGTTTAGGATTGTCTGCATATGTTGTGTAGTCTAACAAAACATGGCAGAATGCCGGCTATCGAAAAGCATATTAACCATGTTTCACATCGATATCAAGGGAAATTAATTTTTGATATATATCATTATCATTTTATCGCCCAGCCCTAGTTGCTCCTAAACCTGTATGTACTGTTCAGCATTAAAGAGATATTCCGGCGTAAAATTAAGTTAGGGTCAAACACACCGTAACACCGAGTTAGACAACCTGTTGAGAGATGAATGTTGCCGACCGCTTGCTTCTCTAGTTATACCAACTTTAGTAACGACCGAAGGATAGCAATACACAGCGGTCCCAGGAGCCACGAGCTCAACCAAAACGCCACTCTATAGCCCCAAATAATGCTCAGAACAGCACCTAACTTCAACAACAGTACATAAGGGGTCCCAGCCATAGTACTAGCCACCAAATATCTTTTTAACTTTAACTAATTTCTTTCGCAAAGAGGCTAAACACAACTCATCTACTCTCTTCCAGCAGCTGCTTGTTTGTACGGAGACCTCAGGCGAGTCCATCACTGCAGCGGGGTGACGCAGCTCAAGGAAGAACATTTATGATCATCACTTTATCATTTCCTTGAAGTAATAATCATCATATTAATCATTTTGCACTGCAGACGCGGTAGTTCTTCTGCCTTTGCGTCTCAGTCTGATTGTATTTCCATGAAGAAATGATCATAAATGTTCTTCCTTGAGTTAGGTGCTGTTATGAGCATTATTTGCGGCTACAGAGTGTCTTTTGTTGAGCTTGTGAGGTGTCTAACTCGGTGTTACGGTGTGTTTGACCCTAACTTAATTTTACGCTGGAATATCCCTTTAATGGAGCCATAATCATAGTTGAAATTGAAATTACAACAAACCTCAAAGTCAACTTAAAGAATAGAAGATTCTCATATTGGTCCTGGTGCAGAGATGTTTCAGATCTGCAGGTATGAAGGCAATTCTTGTTTCCTGACCTTTGACCTCTGACCATTATCTGTCCCCTCCTTTAAAATAACAGCGTTTAATATAAACGTTCCTATCAGTCTGAACTCCTTCCTGCTGCTCATTATAAAGACGTCCTCCTCCTCCTCCTGGTTGTGTTTTTTATTAATGAACGTCCTCAGAGTGACTCATCAGAATCCTGAACCGGGTCTCTTTAGGTCCTGACTGGAGCTCATTATAACACCGTCATTACAAACAACAGTTACATAACCGGCTCTGAACACATCCTCATGTAAAAGTCACCAAAAACATCATCTGACGTCCAGCTGTTTGTGACTCACACATCATTATATGTCTGCTTAAAGCCTTTCTTTTTATTCAGCCCTCCCCTAAATTTCTCCTTTTTCGCCTCTCTTTTTCAGGATCACTTTCTTCCTCTACTCGTACAGTAAAAGTAAATCTTTCAGGAGTAATTTTCCACTGAGCCGTGCCTACTTTCTCTTTAAGTAATGGATGAGAGTTTCTCTGTCTCCAAAGCTCTGACCCAAACACAACACTCACTCTGTTTTTCTAAGGCTTGTTAATAAAGCTTCAGTCCAGGGCGGAGGTTTTTGAACTCGGCGATTGTCTGCAGACAGGAAGGGTTTTCTGCATTCAGGTAGCGACAAACAGGGTGGATCTTTATTTTGACTTCATGAGAGGTTTGTGGTCGGGGATTTCACCCTCTGATGAGGTGTAAACTTTTCATGAGGGACTTTATCAATATTTTCTTTGGACGTGTTCGGGGTGATTCTCGCCGTCTATTTGTGTCCAAACACGGAGCTGTTTTTAGATGTATTAAGTTCAGTCTGCTCTGGGAGTTTCCACACCATCCTTCAGTGTCACTGGAAGCTCTGCAGGCCAACGAGATGATGTAGTGAAATCCTGACAGCAGGATCCTGTCGCTGCTGCTCCACATTATTCACATTTACACTGAGGGACTGAGGAGAATAAGTTGCTGCTAAACCGGACAAAGAAAAGTGATTTTGAGGAACCTAAACAGGATGAAATCCAAAATGGCGTGATGAATCTGGTTGCGCATGCTCATATCATGCAGACATTGTGAACTAAAAAGTTCCTTCTGTTGGAAAATGAGTCCATCCAAAAAGAAAAACTGAACATTTCCACAGAGTTCAGCTACAGCTGCTTTTCTGAGCTTCCTGGTAGAAAACTAACATGTTTATTTTGACAGATGGATTAATGCATGAAGAGGACAAACGGCTTTTAGATGTAAGATGTTCAAATGAAGCCATAAATGCTTTCGCTTTGTGAAACTATT